CCTTGAACCTGCCCGGGGCACCGCCGTGGGCACGGGGACCTGGCAGGGCCACCGGCCACCAGCACCACTCCAGTGCCACTGCCCTGGCCACACACCCGAGCACAAAAGTGGCACAGCCCCGAGGACTCTGTCACCATCCCATAGGTCCTGACCCTGGGGTGGTGGCCTCACCTCTGCACCTTGCTGGACATCTCGATGGGGCGCCCGATGTTGCGGGTCTCCAGGTCAAAGTGGGGGTCGAAGTACTCCTCGGGGGTGATGGCCGTGGGGTTGGTGGGGCTGGCAGCCTGCAGGACAGGTGTCTGTGGGGACACCAGCACTGCTCAGCCCCCCTGGAGACCCCCCAGTTTCCCCAGGGACCCCTGGGATGGCCACTCACCCCGTTGTGGGTGCCGTGCTGCTGTGCGATGCCCAGGAAGGAGTGGAAGGGGGTCTTGGAGCCTGGGGGAAGAGGGGGGGTGCAGGGGTGAGGTGTGGGCAGTTGGAGGGACTCCCAGGACTGTCACTGTCACATCCCTCATGGGTGACACCCCACACACTGTCCCATGCCTGTCACATTATTCTCACAGTTTCCCATACCTGACATGTTACTCCCCACACCCTGCGTGTCCCACACCTGACACGTCACACCCACAGTGTCCCACGCCTGACACCTGTGCCACCCAGGAGGGGTGGCATGTCCCCACTGTGTACAGGCCCCCTGATGGGCTGTCACCTTTGCTGCGTGACTTGTCCTGGTCAGAGAGATGCTCCGTCCTGGTCTTGGTGACCAGCTCCACGTTGCTGGCACTGTACACCTGTGTGGGGACACCGTCAGGCCTGCCACACCCCAGGGTGTCCCCAGTGTCCCTCCCTGTCTTCCTGCTCACCTTGGCCTCGTAGCCGCTGACCACCTCCATCTTCTCCGAGCGCCAGCCCCAGATCCCAGACTTGTTCCTGGCGGAGCAGGGAGGCCTCAGCTCACCCTCTTGCACCACATTTCCTTCCCCTTTGCCTGCGCCTCCCCCTCGCACGGCCCCTTCCCGCTGGGTGCTCCCCTTCCCACCTCTCGAAGGCGATGTTCCGGGTGTCCAGGTGTGTGGAGACGATGGGAGAGGTGAGCCGCCCGGCCACGTGCTCCTCAGTGGGCTGCATGGCCGCCAGCAGCAGCTCGGGCTCGTGCAGGGCCAGCGCCAGCGTCTCCGTGTACACCACCTGCTTGTCGTGGTCCACCTCCATCACCACGGCCCCCTCATCTGCGTGGGGACACCGGAGGGGTCAGCACCCGGCCCCCCATGACATCCCCTGGGATCTGGGGGGCTGGGAGGATCGGGGGTCCCTCGTACATGTAGGAGCTGGGGTGGTTCCCTCAGGATGGGAGAACTGAGGTTTCCTTGGGGAGATCTGGGGGGTCCCTGATACATGTGAAACAAGTGAGGTGTTCCTCTTGGGAGGGGGGAACTGGAATCCCACGTGGCCCTGGAGGGGATCTGAGAGGTCCTTATGGGAGCATTTATAGTGCAGAGGGTCTGGGGGATCTCCAGGGGAGTCCCTGTAGGGAATCTGGGGTCTTTACAGGGGTGTACTCATAGTGCAAGGGGTCTGTGGCTGCCCACAAAGACTGGAGGGACCCCAGGGAATCCAGACAGGTCCTTACAGAGGTGTACTTATGGTGCAGGGGGCCTGGGGGCTCCCCAAGGTGACTGAGGGGCCGCGGGGGGGTTGGAGCTGACCTTCCCCCTTGAAGATGTAGCTGCGGCGGCCGCGCTGCCACGTCATGTGCTCAAAGCCCAGCAGGGTGGTGTCCACCCGCAGGCTCTCGCCGCGCTTCCACACGCGGTACACGTCACTGGGACACACCTTGGACACCAGGGGCACTGCGGGCACAGGGACCCCTCAGCCCCACGGCTGGGGGCCCCTGGGGACCCCCTTGCCCCGCCCAGCCCGGCCACGCTCACCCCAGCTCGTGAACTCCCACTTCATCTCCACGTAGAAGTCGGATGCCTGGAAGGGATGAGGAGCATGGTGGGGGATGTGGAGGGGCTGAGGACTCCCTGCTGGGGTCACTGGGGTGGGGGGGAATCTGGGGAGCAGGGATGGGGGTCTCTATTGGGGTCCTGGGTGGGGATCAGGGAGATTTGGTGAACTGGGGTTGGATAACCAGGGTGTCCCCAGGGAAAGAGTGAGGTCACGAAGGAGATAGAGGGTCCTGAGGAGACTTGGGGGGGTCTCTGCTGGAGTCACTGGAGAGATGGGGAGCTTCTTGAGTGAAGGGATGGGGCTGGTGGGTGTTCCTGGGGAGCTTTGGGGTGCAGGGTGCAGTTCTTGGGGGCTGTACCCGCCGCAGCTTGCTGAGCAGCTCGGGGATGCCGGCAAGGCGCCGCGTTGCCCGCTGGTAGTCACGGTACTGGAGCACCAGCTGCACCATCTCGGGGTCCCCTGTGCTCACCGCCTCTTGCAGCACTGGGGACACGGGTTGCCATCAGCCAGAGGCCACCCGCACCCCTGGATGCTGTCCCCGAGCCCCCGTGGTGCTCCTGTACCCGTCCATCCATTGGCATTCTCCCTGCCCACGTTGGCGTTGTGCCGCAGCAGCACCCGCACCGACTCCAGGTGGCCCAGAGACACGGCCAGCTCCAGGGGCGTCCGGCCACGTGGGTCCATCAGCTCCACGTCGTGCTGGAAGGGTGTTGGGGTCACTGCCCCCTCCCCGTGCCA